CATATTAGATTTAATCATTGTAAAATTTCTTTATTTTTTTGTAAACTTAAATATAAAATAAAGAAAATTTTTGTTCATATTCACTGGTGTGATAAGTCCTGAAAAGTAAATAACTACTTAGGTTATTAGAAATATTTAATGAAATTAAAGGCAAAAAGTAATACTATTGAAGTTGCAAGCATAAGTCAAAAAACATGCACCTGGTTGGGATTTGGCTCCTGTGACTGGGAAAGCTGGAAGCAATGTGTTTTGTAGTAAACAACATAGTATAATTGTTATTAAAATCACAGGATCACATTTTGTACTACGTATTAACCAATATTTTCTATTAATCAAACTCATTAACATTGAAAATGCCTATCCTCTTTCATGAAGTTTCAAATCTGCTTTACATTAATGTGGATTTTGCATAAATGAGTAATGGAATAACAGAGTTTTACTATTTATTTGATGAAAGCATATAATTTTTATACAACTGATACCAAAATTTTAAAATTGCATTATATTGATATTTATGTCAAAATGTGAAAAAACCCAAGTAATATAATGAGATTTAGCATTTAATTTGTTTTAAATACATCTTTCATAATTCAATCTTAAATCTGGCTTACTACAGCAATGCAAAAGTATACCAAGTAAACTGAAATTCTGTTAACAAGGCATCTGGTATGCCAGCAAACCTGATAAATTGGCACGTCCGGCTCGTTTTTAGAGGGCAGTATTAGGGAACTGGATATTCATCTGTATTTATACATAACTAGGTAGCCAGTTAATTAAAACTATAAATAATATTGAAATTTAAAAATATTTAATTTAAAATTAAAATTAAATTTAAATTTAAAACTCTTTAAAACACTAAATTTAAAGTGCTTTGGTTTCTGTTTTAATTTATAGTAAACAGAACCAAAATCCGAAACTAAAATTAAAAATGAAATACAAATTTATTAATTAACTTAAATTAAAATTTAAATCAAAGCAATTGAAACATAATATTTGGGAAAGTGTGGATAAAGTACTTGTTATCCATCTTGATTGATTTGGTTATATTTCATGCAGGCAGTCGGAATTGAGTCTCTATTTATAGTACTTTGTAAAGTGTTAAGCAATCATAAAAGGCAGATTTGTACAACTTTACATGCAAAGATATGTAAAATTATGTCCAGGGAATTGAAAAAAAATCAGAAAAAATTCCATCGTCTGACAAATTGGCATATTCGATAACCTGGCATCGTTGGGATCAACGTGGTGCTGGGTTAACAAAATGTCACTGTAACAATATGATAGAAATCACAATAATAAAATTTGTTTTTATCTTGTCTACATTAGTACAATATATGTAATGACCCAATGACCAAGATGGTAAAGGCATTAGCCTGCCACACTGGGCACCAGTTTGTCTCACTCAAAAACCTGGAAATTTTTTATAAGTGGTCTAGCTAGATACATTGAAACCTGTCCTCATTACTGGATGCTCTCATTGTTGGACTGGCTACATCCACAAGGGACCTGGAAAAAAGACCTTCTTAATGCCTATATGGCAGAAAGAGTTAAAAAGAATAGCAATTTACTCATCTATCATCTCTATGTTTACAACACAAAACACCAAATTATCAGAATATTAATGTCAAATATAGTTGAAAATCCCAAAAAGCGCTCAATCAACTTGAATGTTTTGACTCTTTTAATGCTTTAGAGCTCTTTTCTTTTAAATCTAAACTTACATAACTGCCATTCAATAATAAATATGATTATTTTTTAATATTTTTCTCTGCAAATATATACAAATATTTTCTTTTGTCATTTTTAAGTTTTATTTTTACTACTGTATTATGCAAATTTTGCTCTTCATTTAAATGTTATCAATTGCATAAAAGTTAAATTCAGTCAGAACCAAAATAAGATACAAAAAAACTTTTTAAATTTCATTTTTATCATAAAATCATCTGTTATATTATAAAATGCAGTATGAATATGTTTTGCTTATCCCTTAAAATATGCTTTAACATCATCAAGAAAGAAATACTTTCAGATCTTTTGTAAATATATAATTTAGCATAATGGTAGTAATATAATTTGTTTTCTCTAAAAGTTGATTTAGTATTCATATTTTAAGAATATGATTCTTTTATAGGTATAACAAATCAAAGTTTCAAGCACTGTTCACCTCCAAAATGTGATCCCCCATGTCATATCCAAACACATGTTGATCCCGGTGAATGTCCTGGATGTGTTTGTCCTGGTAACTTATTATCACATTGAATTTGTTTAATTTAATAAAATTTTTCAAGATTTCCTTATTTTTTATATATTATGACAGATATAACAGATCCCAATTTCAAGCATTGTTCACCTCCAAAGTGTGATGCGCCTTGTTACGTTCAAACTGATGTTGCTCCTGGTGAATGCCCTGGATGCGTTTGTCCTGGTAATTTATTATCATATTGAATTTGTGTAATTTAAATAAAATTTTTCAAGATTTCCTTATTTTTTATATATTATGACAGATATAACAGATCCCAATTTCAAGCATTGTTCACCTCCAAAGTGTGATGCGCCTTGTTACGTTCAAACTGATGTTGCTCCTGGTGAATGCCCTGGATGCGTTTGTCCTGGTAATTTATTATCATATTGAATTTGTGTAATTTAAATAAAATTTTTCAAGATTTCCTTATTTTTTATATATTATGACAGATATAACAGATCCCAATTTCAAGCATTGTTCACCTCCAAAGTGTGATGCGCCTTGTTACGTTCAAACTGATGTTGCTCCTGGTGAATGCCCTGGATGCGTTTGTCCTGGTAATTTATTATCATATTGAATTTGTGTAATTTAAATAAAATTTTTCAAGATTTCCTTATTTTTTATATATTATGACAGATATAACAGATCCCAATTTCAAGCATTGTTCACCTCCAAAGTGTGATGCGCCTTGTTACATTCAAACTGATGTTGCTCCTGGTGAATGCCCTGGATGCGTTTGTCCTGGTAATTTATTATCATATTGAATTTGTGTAATTTAAATAAAATTTTTCAAGATTTCCTTATTTTTTATATATTATGACAGATATAACAGATCCCAATTTCAAGCATTGTTCACCTCCAAAGTGTGATGCGCCTTGTTACGTTCAAACTGATGTTGCTCCTGGTGAATGCCCTGGATGCGTTTGTCCTGGTAATTTATTATCATATTGAATTTGTGTAATTTAAATAAAATTTTTCAAGATTTCCTTATTTTTTATATATTATGACAGATATAACAGATCCCAATTTCAAGCATTGTTCACCTCCAAAGTGTGATGCGCCTTGTTACGTTCAAACTGATGTTGCTCCTGGTGAATGCCCTGGATGCGTTTGTCCTGGTAATTTATTATCATATTGAATTTGTGTAATTTAAATAAAATTTTTCAAGATTTCCTTATTTTTTATATATTATGACAGATATAACAGATCCCAATTTCAAGCATTGTTCACCTCCAAAGTGTGATGCGCCTTGTTACGTTCAAACTGATGTTGCTCCTGGTGAATGCCCTGGATGCGTTTGTCCTGGTAATTTATTATCATATTGAATTTGTGTAATTTAAATAAAATTTTTCAAGATTTCCTTATTTTTTATATATTATGACAGATATAACAGATCCCAATTTCAAGCATTGTTCACCTCCAAAGTGTGATGCGCCTTGTTACGTTCAAACTGATGTTGCTCCTGGTGAATGCCCTGGATGCGTTTGTCCTGGTAATTTATTATCATATTGAATTTGTGTAATTTAAATAAAATTTTTCAAGATTTCCTTATTTTTTATATATTATGACAGATATAACAGATCCCAATTTCAAGCATTGTTCACCTCCAAAGTGTGATGCGCCTTGTTACGTTCAAACTGATGTTGCTCCTGGTGAATGCCCTGGATGCGTTTGTCCTGGTAATTTATTATCATATTGAATTTGTGTAATTTAAATAAAATTTTTCAAGATTTCCTTATTTTTTATATATTATGACAGATATAACAGATCCCAATTTCAAGCATTGTTCACCTCCAAAGTGTGATGCGCCTTGTTACGTTCAAACTGATGTTGCTCCTGGTGAATGCCCTGGATGCGTTTGTCCTGGTAATTTATTATCATATTGAATTTGTGTAATTTAAATAAAATTTTTCAAGATTTCCTTATTTTTTATATATTATGACAGATATAACAGATCCCAATTTCAAGCATTGTTCACCTCCAAAGTGTGATGCGCCTTGTTACGTTCAAACTGATGTTGCTCCTGGTGAATGCCCTGGATGCGTTTGTCCTGGTAATTTATTATCATATTGAATTTGTGTAATTTAAATAAAATTTTTCAAGATTTCCTTATTTTTTATATATTATGACAGATATAACAGATCCCAATTTCAAGCATTGTTCACCTCCAAAGTGTGATGCGCCTTGTTACGTTCAAACTGATGTTGCTCCTGGTGAATGCCCTGGATGCGTTTGTCCTGGTAATTTATTATCATATTGAATTTGTGTAATTTAAATAAAATTTTTCAAGATTTCCTTATTTTTTATATATTATGACAGATATAACAGATCCCAATTTCAAGCATTGTTCACCTCCAAAGTGTGATGCGCCTTGTTACGTTCAAACTGATGTTGCTCCTGGTGAATGCCCTGGATGCGTTTGTCCTGGTAATTTATTATCATATTGAATTTGTGTAATTTAAATAAAATTTTTCAAGATTTCCTTATTTTTTATATATTATGACAGATATAACAGATCCCAATTTCAAGCATTGTTCACCTCCAAAGTGTGATGCGCCTTGTTACGTTCAAACTGATGTTGCTCCTGGTGAATGCCCTGGATGCGTTTGTCCTGGTAATTTATTATCATATTGAATTTGTGTAATTTAAATAAAATTTTTCAAGATTTCCTTATTTTTTATATATTATGACAGATATAACAGATCCCAATTTCAAGCATTGTTCACCTCCAAAGTGTGATGCGCCTTGTTACGTTCAAACTGATGTTGCTCCTGGTGAATGCCCTGGATGCGTTTGTCCTGGTAATTTATTATCATATTGAATTTGTGTAATTTAAATAAAATTTTTCAAGATTTCCTTATTTTTTATATATTATGACAGATATAACAGATCCCAATTTCAAGCATTGTTCACCTCCAAAGTGTGATGCGCCTTGTTACGTTCAAACTGATGTTGCTCCTGGTGAATGCCCTGGATGCGTTTGTCCTGGTAATTTATTATCATATTGAATTTGTGTAATTTAAATAAAATTTTTCAAGATTTCCTTATTTTTTATATATTATGACAGATATAACAGATCCCAATTTCAAGCATTGTTCACCTCCAAAGTGTGATGCGCCTTGTTACGTTCAAACTGATGTTGCTCCTGGTGAATGCCCTGGATGCGTTTGTCCTGGTAATTTATTATCATATTGAATTTGTGTAATTTAAATAAAATTTTTCAAGATTTCCTTATTTTTTATATATTATGACAGATATAACAGATCCCAATTTCAAGCATTGTTCACCTCCAAAGTGTGATGCGCCTTGTTACGTTCAAACTGATGTTGCTCCTGGTGAATGCCCTGGATGCGTTTGTCCTGGTAATTTATTATCATATTGAATTTGTGTAATTTAAATAAAATTTTTCAAGATTTCCTTATTTTTTATATATTATGACAGATATAACAGATCCCAATTTCAAGCATTGTTCACCTCCAAAGTGTGATGCGCCTTGTTACGTTCAAACTGATGTTGCTCCTGGTGAATGCCCTGGATGCGTTTGTCCTGGTAATTTATTATCATATTGAATTTGTGTAANGCGTAATCGTCCGTTATCGACCGACTCCAGACCGATTTTGAATTTGTAAACTGTCATTGCAATGGACAGTTGACATTGTGCTCTGGAGGAAACAATTTGTATCACTCTTGCTACGGATATAATTTGTAATCTGGAATTTTTTGCATACCTTTTTAATACGTATTTAATTGCGGCTCGCAAAAAATTTCAAATTTTGAAAAATGGCTCGGACTATCAAGGAGCTTGGCCACCTTGGGTATATAGTAAAGTCCTTAAACACCCACATAACTGATGAACATGGCTATAATTACATAATACGAACATGGCATATAAGTTAAGTTAGTTACAGTAAAGTGATTACGTGCTACAATATGAGACTGCTTTTTGTGCCCCTAGTAGTAAAATTTGGAAGTCGTCGCTTCCGTCTCGTAAACAATGCACGATATGGAAAAAAGTCGATTACGAAGTTGTAGAACATGACTAATTTAGTGTGAAAAGTTGCTCTGCATCCGGGAATAGTATGAATAAAAAGCATAAAATACTAACATACATATTGAGCATAGATGGTAAAATGTGTATTTCTCGTGTTCATTTGTATATTTTCATTCATTTCTTGTGTGTTTATTTCTCGTTTTTCTATGTCTTTGTGCCGCATTTGTTACCGCGTGTCATTCACAAGTTACTACTTAAGGATTTTACAATACCTCCTGTATATCTAAAAGACAAATTGTTTTTGAACTAAAATTAAGCTAAATCAATTAAATTTAGCTTAAGTCTAACCTTAAAATATTTTATCATTTAGATATATCTAATTTTTATTTCTAGAGAACTACGCTATTTATTTTTTACTTTCTTGGGAAATAATGGTGATCGGTCATAAAATGACCACAAGATTTTTACATTTTTGGACTTGGTACCTTTAAATGTTGATAAATGCAAAACAATTTGGGGATTATAAAATGAATTGTAACAGAAATAAAATATAAAGAAAGCTTTACTGTTTGAGATGCACTTTATAAACTGCATATTGGAGTGTGTTGTGCTTTCAGAGGCCATTCTGGAAGCAGAGTATAAAGTATTATGGGTTACATAAAGGTTTTATTTCTGTCTTAGTGATTTTTGCAGGGTATATGCTGATCTGTTATATGCAACTATTGATTATTCTTGCAAAATTAAAATATTTCATATTTTCATATATATTTGTATATTGTAACAGATATAACAGGTCTTGATATCATACTTTGCTCACCTCCAAAATGTGATGCACCCTGTCACATTCAAACTAATAATGTTCCTGGTTCTTGTCCTGAATGTGTTTGTCCCGGTAAATATTTAACATAAATGAATGTCTTTAATTTAAAATAAACTTTTTCTGGATTTTGTAAATATTTTATGCTATAACAGATATAACAGATCAAAGTTTCAAGCACTGTGCAACTCGAAAATGCAATCCTCTGTGTCATGTCCAAACTGATGTTGCTCCCGGTGAATGCCCCAGATGTGTTTGTCCTGGTAATCTATTTCACATAAATGAATTTGTTTAATTTAAATGAAATATTTCAAGATTTCCTTATTTTTTATATGTTATAACAGATATAACAGATCCTAATTTCAAGCATTGTTCACCACCAAGATGTGATGCACCTTGTCATGTCCAAACTGATGTTGCTCCTGGTGAATGTCCAGGATGTGTTTGTCCTGGTATGTGTTGAAGATGAGCAGTTTACATTTAATCTAATTTATCAAAAATTTTTAATTATTTGATTGTATGAATGTTTTAGTAGGTGGTTTGATGACAGATCCTAATTTCAAACATTGTTCATCTCCAAACTGCAATTCTCCATGTCATATTCAAAATGATGTTGCTCCCGGATTGTGTCCAGGATGTGTTTGTCCTGGTATGTGTTTTAATTTGAATATGAATTTATGGATACAAATATATTATTTTAATATTTAAAATAAGTTATTAAATAATTTCAATAATATAGTTATTATTGAGTTAAATTAAAAATTTGGCTAAATAAAACTGAACAACAGACTAATTTTAACTATGTGCCAAACAATAATAAAAACAAAAGATTCAGTAATTTTCTTGTAAACGAAAATTTGATAATAATAAATACTAAACAATACATTATTCAAATTTTTGTATAATTCTCAGACATTAGAACCTAAGCTATCAATACTCCTACTTGCATATGATGAAAGTGTAGAGAGAATATTGATAATGATTGACGTATAATTTTCTTAACGTAGAGCACTAAGAATTATTTACAGACATACATTTAAAATATTAGAATGCTCTGACTCTGTCTTGCAGAACATCGTGACGATGATGTATGTATGAATGTACAACAGAGCTAGCTAAAAAAGTGACAGAGAGTAACTTTGAGCCACTTTGGTCACAAACTTCCTTTTTAAAACACCGTGGAGATCAAAAAACATTACAGGTATACCTCGACTTACGTCGTTTCGAGTTACGTCGGAGGAAACAATTTGTATCACTCTTGCTACGGATA